ACAAGGAGATGTGCTTGGCCGTCAAGCTGACAAGGAATGGATGTTTTTGGCTAATCTTGGTGGCCAACTTGACTGGGTGAACCAAAATGCAAGCACCGAGCCCTCGGGTAAGGGGTTTTCGTGATGCGGCTATCCGAGACAGGAGGACTCGCCCTCAGTGAGGGCAGCACCTTCTATGGCAGCTCACAGAAACGAGCAGGGAGAAGCAAGCTTTGGGTGTGTTGCCTCACTCACAGCAGGTTCATCCGTCCTCTTGCTACAGCAAAGCCAAACTTCAAGTTTCCAGTGTGCACTGATGACAAGCAGCAACTCTCCAGGGCTCCTCCGGCCCTTCACTGCCAAGCTGGAGCTGCTGAGGCACCAGCCCTGTGAACGGACCAACTACTAAACTCTTGGCCTCTCCAGTGAGAGGAACACTGCCGGGCTACCAGAAGTGCAACATACAAGGCACGCCAGTAAATCCCTTCACACACACGTGCGTGCTCACACCCCCAACACACCTTCCTTTAGAGAACCCAGACAAATCGAGTGTGGTGGCTTTATTGGAGAGATTCTAAACAGAATCGTGAGGACGAATTTCTCCAGTGTGTGTGGTGGTGTCTGAAGCGGTCTCTCCAACTCTCGAAGCTCCATTACCAACAGCCCCTCTGCCAGCCTGGAGGGCAGTGAAAGCCCATGGTAAGAACTATTTAAATAATAGCGCAAAATAAATGCATCTGACATGCAGAGTTCACCTCTTGTGAGGAGCAAGGAATTTAGTCACAGTTAAAAGTGCACATGGCTTCCACATGGCGAATGACAAATCGCCCCGAAGGTCTAAGTAACAAGCATCTTAAGCCTAATCGTGTTTCACTACCGTCTACTGCAGAGCACTCAAGATGGACGGCAGAGAGGAGAGCAGAAACCAGAACAGTCAGCATGGCAGTGGCTTTCTAGCACTGTGGTTGTGAAGAGCACCCCGAGTTCTTCCGGTCCCCAAAGTCACCATCAGCTTCAGAACTGGACCAATAGCTGATCAACCACAGCTTCAGTTCCCCTGGCAGTGCCCCCCAGAAAATCACCTCAGAGTCACCCTTGCTAAGCGAGAACCCCAAATGGGAAAAACGGCACCTGAGAAACCATCAAATACACAAGCCCAAAGTTCACAGCGGGCACGGCAGTGTACCTGAAAATCCGTTTTTCTTTCGATCAAGAAAATGGACCATCCGGGAATGAGAAAAACCGATTTGAATTGAAGCCAGGTACAGATAGCTCTTGAAGGGCAGAGGATGAAATGTTCTGAGAAAACCTACCTACAACCAGCGGTAAACTACCTACAACCAGCTGTTGCAAGAGCTGGGTGAGCTCGGCTACAGAGCGTCGGCGAAAAAGGCCTAGCTCTGCAGGAAACAGGTCAGTTATCTGGGAGACATATTGAGAGGGAAAGAGATGGCTATCGGAAGCTAGAAAAGAGACTGTATTTCACATTCCCTCTCCGTGGGCTACTAAAAAACCGAGGGAATTTTTAGGTACAGCGGGGTTTTGCTAGCTGTGGATTCCAGGATTTGCCAAGATGGCAGCCCCTCTGTATGCCCTTACAAAGGGCAACGACTCTTTCATCTGGGGAAGGGATGAACAAAGCTGCATTTGATAACAAGCCTTAATGTCGGCCCCAGCATTGGGACTCCCTGATGTGACCAAACCCTTCCATCTCTGTGTGGCCGAGAATTGGGGAATGGCCAAAGGGGTGCTAACACAGAAAATTGGACCCTGGAAGAGACCCGTAGCCTGCCTATCCAAAAACTTGATTCAGTAGCAGCAGGGTGGCCAACCTGCCTGTGAATAGTAGCGGCACTAGTAAAAGATGCAGACAAACTGACTCTGGGACAGGACCTCCCCATCTCTGCTCCTCATGCCCTTGAGAGTGTCATAAGGCAGCCACCTGATCGCTGGCTCACGAACGCCCGAATGACATTACCAGGCTTTGCTCTTGAATAACGATAGAGTCACCTTTGCCCCGGAGACAGGGCTAAATACTGACACTTATTGCTGGATCCAGAAATCCAGCCCCCAGAGCATGATTGTTTGTAGGTTCTTGCAGAGGAACAGGGATGGTGAAAGGACTTGAAAGATCAACCTCTTCCTGATGCTGAGGTGACACTATATGGATGGGAGCAGTGTTTTGGAGAATGGGAAGAGAAAGGCAGGGGCAGCGGTGGTAGATGGACACAAGGTAATATGGGCCCAGGCGTTGCCGGAGGGCACTTCTGCTCAGTGAGCGGAATTGATCACTTTAACCCAGGCATTAACTCTGGGAAAGAATAAAAAGGTAAACATCTACACTGATAGTCGGTACGCCTTCGCAACAGCCCGTGTGCACGGGGCCATCTATCAGCAGAGAGGCCTGCTAACATCAGCCAGTAATGAGATCAAAAACAAGATTCTGGCTTCGCTCAATGCCTTGTTGCTGCCTGCCAAGGTAAGTAATTCACTGCCCGGGACATCAGAAGGGAACTTCCAGGGCAGCAAAGGGGAATTAACATGACCGATCAGGAAGCTAAAGCAGCCCATAGAGGAAACTGTTCCAGTAGTACTGACCATTGAGCTGCCCAGAGAAGAACGACTAAACTCAAAGTGACTTAAAAACCTCACCGCCCTGACCGAGTGTGAGACTCAGCAGTGTGAACCCTGTCAGAAGGTAAACGTAGGTAAAAATTTCCAGAGCCCAGGGAAGCGGCTGAGAAAAACTAGACCCAGAATGCATTGGGAAGTGGATTTCACCGAAATTAAACCAGCCAGGTACGGCCATAAATATCTCCTGGTCTTTGTGGACACTTTCTCAGGATGGGTGGAAGCTTTTCCCACAAAGAAAGAAACTGCTCTGGTCATAGCCAAAAAGACTATGGAAAACATTTTTCCTCGATTCGGTATTACAAAGGTAATTCGGTCAGAAAATGGGCCGACCTTCGTTGCTCAGGTAAGTCAGGAAGTGGCGAGGTTTCTGGGGCTTGACTGGAAATTACACTGTGCTTATAGACCCCAAAGTTCAGAAGAGGTAGAAAGAATGAATAGAACTCTAAAAGAGACTCTCACCAAATTGACCATGGAGACTGGCGGTGACTGGGTGGTGCTCCTTCCCTTGGCCCTTTTTAGAGTCCGAAATACTCCCTTTACTAGGCCTGACTCCCTTCGAACTACTATATGGGATTCCTGCTCTCCTTGGGCCCCCCCCTTGACATAACTAGTGTTAACTCTGACTTGTCCAGGCTGAAAGGACTGCAGCTTATTCAGACAGGAATTTGGAGCAAGGTTGGCAGTGCATATGCGCCTGGGACCTTGGAGGTGCCCCATCAGTTCCAGGTTGGAGATCTGGTGTACGTGCGACGACACCGCAGCCAGAATCTGGAACCTCGATGGAAGGATCCTTATTACGTCCTGCTCACCACTATACCAACTGCCGTCAAAGCAGAGGGCATCGCAGCTTGGATCCACGCATCACACATCAAGCCTGCTCTTCATCAACCTGCAGACACCTGGAAAGTCCAAGCCTCCAGCAAACCCGCTAAACTGAAACTCATCAGGGACAATAAACTCTGACCAATACTCGCCTTCGTCAGGGAATGTGTAAGTGCAGTTTAGGTCCTGATGCTCCAGAGGCAGTATCAACCTCTCCCTGAGGTTGATCCACAATTTTAGGGTTAAAATTGAGGCAAAAAGAAAAGGGGGGAATGAGGGACCACCCGGGAATGAGAAAAACTGATTTGAGAATTGAAGCCAGACACAGCTCTTGAAGGGCAGGGTGAACTGTTCTGAGAAAAACTACAAAACCAGCTGTAAACTATCTTCATGCTATTCTTGCTGACCAATCAACGTATAGAGCAAAAGTGGTCTGATTTTCAGGTATAAAAACCCTGTGCGCTTTGCATGTTCGGGGTTGTCTTCCTGGCTTTGGAGGGGCGACCCTATCTCGATTGGAATAAACCTCTTGCTTTTGCATCGAGTTGTGGTCTGGGTGTTCCTGGGAAGGGTGAGATCCTGAGCTCCTGAGCTGTGAGACTCCAAGTCTTTCAGTTTCTGTCCCAATTCAGAGCGGGCATGATGCCAACTCTCAGAAACACGGCCTTGAACAATCGGCAGCTGCGCTCACCAGCTCAGCCCAGCAGTAACATGGAGGAGATAGAGCCAGCTATCAGTCATGCGGAGGTCCCCTGTCACCCTAACGCAGACTGGCGGGATCAACGCCCTGTGTGACCGCTGGCATGTAAGGACACGGAGCTATTGTCAGCTACCTCCGCATAGGTGTGGTAATACCACGGAGGCTGTGGCCACGAGCCCTTTCGCAATTCCAGTTCAAGCCAAACCACCAGAGGTGTGGGCAAGAAGCTCTTTACGCCCAGTCACCCTGTCTCACGGCAATAAAAAATCTGCTGGCTTCCATACCCAGGGACAAACACCCAGCCACACGCTTTCTTTTATCACTCGAGGAGACACCCCATCCTTTCCGAGCAGTCAGGGGGAGCAGGCAGTGATGCCGTGGTCGTGGCAATGTCTGCAGGACCTTCCAAAGCTGGTAGTGAAGAAACACAGACCAAAGGCAGCAAGGGAGCAGCCCTGTCAGAGGAAAGCACCCACACACAAAATGCCTGGAGCCTGCACACACATCCTGTAGCAAGCCAGTGGCTCAAATAGGCTGGTCATCGCGCCCTGGCTGAGAAGACCCTGTGTCCTACAAGCTCGTCACAATGATGGACCTGTACTGAAAAGAGGGAGTGTCTGCAAAAACAAGGGAAATGGCAAAGAACATTCCGTTGTATTTCCATTGTAAAAGTTGCCATTTAAAAAATTCTAAAGTGTAAGTGTTAAATTCCAGTCTCCGGAACAGCATTACAGCCTGGCGTCGGGTGATGAGGTGAGCGCGGGTGGCCCGGGTGACTTTCCATCTGTGTTTCCCGCACAGACAGAAGGGCTCCTTCCAGCCAGGGAGACCGCCACTGCGGCAGAGTGCCCAGCCGTGAACTCACCCTGTCCTTGTCATCGGCCACATCACAGAGGATGTCATCCTGGTCCAGGATCCCCCCGTCTCCATGCTCCAGGCGGTGCACCTGGATCCAGTAGTTCGGATCCTGAAAAAAGGAGAAAGGACAAGTACATGAGCATCACTGAAAGGGAATTCATAATTTAAACTCGACTTCCTGACCAGCACAGGGAATAATATTACAACCAGTTAAAACCTCACACAGCGCTCACGGCATGGTAGAGAGTCCGTTCACCTTCCTCTGGGATTAGGTCACTCACATTCTTCCCTGGCTCCATGCTGTCCCATCATGACAGGAAAATTCGTGGCCTCAGACACTACTTTCTCTCAAGCAGATCAGACTCTCCATTGTCTGATGCACCAACTGTCCAAGAACCCGGCAAAGTAAAGCCGCACATCCTGCATCGGAAACCTCACGTTTGCGCGTCGGCAGAGTGCACGCTGCACACTCTGGTGCGGTAACGTGCTCCTCTCCAACAGGACCGAAAATAAAAACCACAGAGCCGCTGCCACGCTGGCCCATGGACCGAGAAGGCTGTGGCGGGAGCCTGCATTCACATAGGTTAGACCCAGTCCACACGGGTACACGCATACAGAAATACAGGAAACTGTTGCTGCAAGGGACCCATTTCCCAAAAACACAGACTTGCTACCCAAAAGTTGTATTAACTTTTCCTAATATTTTTTTTTCTTGAAGACAATGGATGTGTTGGCTACAACACAGATTCCACCAGATCTGTGAGCCGGGACGAGGGAGTGGCAGACATCAGCATTCTCTAGATGCTGCTCTGACTCATCGCTCACACAGGAATGCCTCAAATCAAGAACACATGACTCATGTCACAGTAAAGCAGAATGTCCATCCTGGTCATGGCTTAGCCAGAGGGACAAGCAGCTCAGACCCCCCTAGTCAATACTACAAAAGCAGGAACATGGACATCGCCTCAGCTACCTCAGAGTAAGGGAACTGTTCATCTATTAAACACACACACACCGTATACACACACACGCACACACGCACCACACACTATTTCGCTTAGCAGCGTGGGGAGGAAAGCTTGTGTTCACTTGTGCGTACTGGGTCGCAGTGCACGGAGGAAAGCCACAGCACGAATCCGGAGACAGGAACCAAATTCCAAAGGCATGGAGGAGCACCATTTACAGCTACGGGCTGGCGGCCCATGGCTTGCTCACCTTTCCTACACCTCCATGACCGCCAGCCCACTCACACACACCAAACACTAGTCATGAAAATGCTCTATACACCTGCCTACAGGCGAATTATATGGAGGCACATTTCTCAGAGTACTTCTCAAATTACTACAGCTTATGCCAGGATAGAAAACAAACCAATACACATACCAAAATAAACACACACCCCTAGACACACACAAACACATCTTTACATTCTCATGTGGCTCAACTGACCCGCGTGCTCCCCTAAATTCAACGTCGCCCACAGTGGACCTTTAAGACCACAACTTTGAGCGTTTCAGAGTTTGTTGTTTCTGTATATTTGTTTAGTAGCCAAAGTCTCGAAACAAACCACCTTCCAAGTTCCCAGTGGTGTATTCCCTAAAGTTTCTTAGGGAAGCTTTGTAACTAATGTCCCATAGTGACGATGGAAAAGGAGCCCCTCAGCACAAACCAGCTTATATGGCAGCTTCCACTTTCCATCATTTCTCCACACACAAGCAGCCGGCCCTCCCAGACAGCTCACACCCGTCTCCTAGCACCTGCACACTTCACAGGGCATTAGAGCCAGACCCGAAAACCAAGGCCAGTGTTTGCTCAGCCTCATGCCTTCATCCTTCCCAATCTACCCTGGCACTCCCAGCATTCCGTGGCTACCGGCATCTCCCTGCTGGATCTTGCCTTCTCCAGGCTCCCCTGTCCACCAGCCACATCTTCCTAGGCCTCTGCTGACATCTCTGCCTGACCATCACATACCCCAGAGCAGGCCAGAGGTCACTGTCCACCCTTTGGCCAATATCCCTAAGCACACAATATCCTTAAACACAAAGGCGTAGCCAGAAGTTACACTTGATGCTTTACTGGCTGAGAATGAGTCGCCGATAAGTGACAAATCAACTCTCCAATCACGCTGACCACAAACTTTAAAGAACTATTGGGTTGTGGAGGTGGGTCACTTTGGGACATAGGCGGACTTTAAGAATTTGAGTTTGATGGCCAGAACCAAGTAAAAACACCATGTGTACAAATCAAAATGCAGAGTTGAAACCCAGTCACTACAGACGCATCTACAAAACACTCCCAGACTTACGGCTCAGGGGGTCCTGAGAGGAGGGGGTGGGAAGGCCGCCAACGCCAGCGGACTCGCTGCGCAACTGCGACGAATGTCAGAAGCTACGCCCATGAAGTCTCATCCACACGCAAGGACGAGCCGAACAGTGCACGAGGAAAAAGCCCACGAGGCCCCAACCCTCCATGAAAACCCACAGGCAGCTGAGGTTCGGGGCTGGAAATGTAGTCTTCCTGGGGGATGGGCACATCAGTTGTCCAATGCCACGTGGTCGGCACTGGAAACACACACACGAGTAACACATGGATTGACAGGGTATGGGGATGCGGGCGCGCAGTTACCTATAACATACTCATGTATAGCTTACGCATAAGAGCCATACACGGTTATGGCAGTTTGAGACAGGGTCTTCTCTGTGTAGACCAGGCTGGCCTCTGCCTCCCTGGGATTGCAGGTGTGCGCCACGCTCACACACATTGTTTCATCAATGTGCTGATGCCTTAGGCTCATTCCCCACTGCCCTCAAGTCCCCAGCAGCTTCTGCACAGCCACACGCCATCGGTCCCGCCTCGTCCTTGTCCAATCCCGCCAGTCAGCATCTCCTCAGACTCCCATCATCTTTTACAATCCTCCAAGATGCTGACCAAGGCTTTCTGTACCCGAGACTTGTTGGCTCCACACCAGGAGAACAGTCAACTATATATGACGTGCATCGGGCTGTGCGCTCCGTGGGGCGATTTTCAGGAAGGGAGTGAGCACGCGTGATCTGCTCTCCCCAGAGGCGAGAAGGGTGTCTGACCTCCACAGCACTCCAACAGGTAGAGCATTGGTGGTGGGTTTGAGGCTTTGGGGTTTTTTTTAAATCAGCGTATGTATCCCTGGCTTTTCTGAACACAGGGCTGGCTTTGAACTTGTGGTCCTCCTCCATCAGTTTCCTGAATCCTCAGAATACAAACTCTCACTCCTAATAACTAAGCCTCCCATTCCTCTTCCCACCTTTTTCTCCAGTTTTGAATATTCTAACTTTTCATTTACTTTCTAGTCTCTAATTTCTTCATTCCTAACGTTGTCTCCTATTAAAATATTTTTATACTTTCTGGATAAATATTCTCCCTGCTCCCACCATTCCTGTTGTTATCGTTGTGGGTGTCAAAGCCAATACCCAATTTTACTGAATCGGACTCATTGCTCAGAGCAGCCATTACTGTTACTTGTTTCCCTTGCTGTGAAGCCTGGACCATGAGTCAGACACTCGAATTGCCACGGAGGTTCACCCCAACCCCAGATGGCAAAGACTGATAGACATAAAGCATCTCTGCTCCAACTTCAGGTAATTCTTTAACTGAAAGAATGGGGGGAAAGACAACATCAAGATGGGAGGTTAAAGCCCCAGCAGGTGTGACCAAAGCCTGAAAACCCTCCTGGGCAACGACCCCTGCTGTGTCACAGAAGGCCATGCCTTGTCTATTTGTAAAACTTAGAAATGTAACCGTTACTGTACACCTTTCTCTAGAGGAAAAGGGCTATGAACAAGAGGGGCATGGCTTGTGAAGCAGTGTGAGGAAGACAACTCCCCAAAGCTGCAGAGCTCACTGGGAGAGTGACCCTGAACGGGACAAGAACTGAGAAAGTTGCCGGGTAGCTGTGAGCCACCTAGAATGAAGCCACCAGGACCTCAGCGCAAAATGTCTCAGGATGATGTGGAAATAGCATCCAAAACACCCAAATCCTGAGACAGCAGCTTCCAGCAGACAGGACTGGAGCAGAGCAAGAGTCAGCACAGAAGGCTTCAGGACAGCACAGAGGGGCAAAGAGGGCCATGCCGCTCAGCTATAAGCAGCACCCACCATGAAGAGCACCGGGTTCACCTGACCAAACCCATAACCACCCTGGATGGAAGCAATGTAACCGAGAGGAGCACACACACCAGGAGCGACTCCAAGACTGGTTTTTCTGGGATGGAGAGAAAGGAAAACACATGCTGAGAGATGGACAGTCAGTCTACTAAATAGTGAGGAAAAGATATTATATGTGTAATATAGATTATAAAATCAGCAAGAAACAAAAAGCAATTTATAGAGAAATATGGCGTGGAAGGCAGCTTCCACTCGCTGACATTCTTGGACATACATAGATGATTGAAAGATCAAAACTGGAATTTTTCCTTGGATGCTGACAGACAATGGCTTAGCACTAGCATCATTGAACCAATCAGCCAGAAAGTAATCACATCCCAGAGACAAATGAAGCCACTGTTGCCAATGACTGAGCCAAGAGAAAACGGTTCACTTTTGAAAAATGGCCAGCACCTGTCAGAGGAGGAGGTAGTCTTCATTCTAGGCAACTACTTCTCCAAAGCCAAATCAGACATTTGAAACTGAACTGTGGGATGTTTAGCAGAACAACGGCATCTCAAGGCAGGCACGACCTACATGGCTGTGCCCGATTTAATCCCATCGGGAAATACAGGCTGGTACTCAAGTTTAGGGAGCTAGTTGTGAGTTAGGTCACACTGCTACAGTGTGAACACGTCTGTTGGCTTCTCACCAGGGGTGGAGGATACCGGTGAACACCGAGACAACCCGCATCGCCCTTTGGGAGTGACGAGGACTGAATGTATGCTCCCAAGCCACGCCCACACTAACGCCTTCAGACCGCCACAAACCACAACTGTTGCCCCACAGGACAGAGGGTGTACTCCTGCATCTCAAGAAAGGAAAGGGGGGAGGTAAAGTCAAAGTTCACGTCTTGTTCCCTCACAACCAGGCAGTCTCTCCACAGCGCCAGGGAGGGCGCCGTCTTTGGCCACTTCTCTCATTTTTATA